CTAACAACATCAAGGTGAGGGAGATTGCAGATGCGGTGCAGGAAATTCTGCTGTGCAACTGGGATGCTGGAAGGAACAAGGCGCTAGGGAGAAAATATCAAACACATTGTGGGATTGGTGTAATGAATTTAGATAGTCTACTTAGATACTGACGTCTGTGTGAGGAGAAAAGCCCAGCTTGAAGTTTCACAAACCTGAATGGATGACCAGGGCCTTTCCAGATGAGAAATGAATGAGGTCAAGCAGAGTCTATTAAAATATGTCTCTCTGCTAAATATGATTTTCCTCTTTCAAGGTCGTACAAGTAGCAGCATTTTAGATAACTGTGTACTCGTGTAATTAAGCTTTGTACTGTGTAGACACAGCTCAAACCTCACAGACAACAAATCAGTGAAATCTTTAAACAATAACAAAAGAGCCTAACTGTTTTAAACATGGATCAGGAAAATCGTAGGGATTTTGGTTACAGTAAATTGAATTGAACTAAATGGAAATAGGCAAACTGAGAAAACAGAAACATGTTCACTTTGTCAATTAGTCGGGGGGGGGGGGGGCCTTGCCTTTTTAAATAGGGGGGGGGGTCCTTGCATTTTGAATAGATTAATTTTAGGATGGACTCCTTAAGCATTGAAATACCACTGAAAAAAATCAGAGCACATAGTCATCTATTGTTGGTGTCTCATTGCGACAGTGCTATGTTAAAAAATGGACAACTGTTTTAGTGCATGTACACACTAATGCCTTTGCATTAGATCTACTTTTATACTTCTTTAATACATGCAGTTTCACATCTGAGAGGTTGATTTTTAAAGCTTACAGGATACAGAATATTTGTTATAGACGGGTCACTTTACAGCTGTTTTTATTACTTGCTTTATTTGTGCTACTTTTCAAATGCCTTTTATGCATTTATTTTATTGCTTTACCCTTATCTGAGGGTCATATTTATAAAAGTATGAAGTATCATATTTTATTAGTTCAATTACAGAGCACGTAGTCATCTATTGTTGGTGTCTCATTGCGACAGTGCTATGTTAAAAAATGGACAACTGTTTTAGTGCATGTACACACTAATGCCTTTGCATTAGATCTACTTTTATACTTCTTCAATACATGCAGTTTCACATCTGAGAGGTTGATTTTTAAAGCTTACAGGATACAGAATATTTGTTATAGACGGGTCACTTTACAGCTGTTTTTATTACTTGCTTTATTTGTGCTACTTTTCAAATGCCTTTTATGCATTGATTTTATTGCTTTACCCTTATCTGAGGGTCATATTTATAAAAGTATGAAGTATCATATTTTAAAAACTATAATAATTTCTTTCTCACACTTACAGCTGCTCTTGTTAGGGGTAGCCACAGCAAAATTATCCACACAAAAACTATGTTTATCCTAACGTTTTAGCACAAAGGAATTTGGTTACTGAAAAGCTGACAAATCATTGAAGAAACGTAAAGAATTAACACCTTTGAGATGCTTTTCAATGCACCCAGTAAACCCCCAAAATTAAGTTTTATAGTGCAGCTGCTTGCATCAAGTTGTACAGGTGCTGAGTGATTTATGGTTCTTCTCTGTGATGTGGTTTAGTTGAAGGAGTGTCATTTATGCTATTCCTTATCTCTGTCCCGGCCTGTCAAACATACCAGCCCGTTGGCTCCGTGTCGAGCGTTTGGACGTCTCAGAGATGGGAAGTTGTCAGGGAGTGACAAGACAGAGGTGAAACAAAATCTACAAGACCAATTCTCTGCTGAATCTGTCTTTCTAGTCAAACAGCAACGGCTAATGAAGTGTGAGATATTCACCTTTGTGCTGTATGCCCAGATGAACAAGTTTCTCTCCTGTTCTGGGGGACAAATTGGAGAAGAATCGGAATTTGTGCAGTGCACTACCATTCCACAGAGCTTTTAACCCCTGGTTCTAAACCAGGTCCATTTAAAGGTAAAGGTACATTTAATTTTATTGGGGTTAGCACTGTTACCTGGGTTTATGAGGTGTTAACCGGTGCCAAACATGTACAGTGCTTAGCAAGAGAAACCTAATCGTGTGTCGCATGTCATTTCAGCGTTTGCGGGGAAATGGTCTAGTTGTAGTGACTGACGTATCCAAATAATCAATGTTGTTATATTTTCCTTGATTTTCATATCCACATTTATGATTTATTCATATTCAAATATTTACTACTCATTTGTGTTTATATTTTGTTTTGTTTGATGTAAATTCAAGATGTAATATTTGTAGTATTCTCCAAGAATATATATTGGATATTTTTCAACTACTGCCTGAGTAATAATGTTTCTCAATATTAGTCATTAATTGTACTAGATGTTCTTTTCCAGGAACTGTTTTCGTAAAATGTAAGATATGATATTTGAAAGTGCTTGTTTTGCTGTATTTGTTCAAAAGGTGTGAAAACCACACATATGTTTTTAACTGCAACATCTGACTGGTCTTGATGACCTAGCCTGACATGACCTATAGTCGTTGAAACAACATATGACATAATGGATGAGTGAGTCCTGACATAATGGATAAGTCTATTTGTCCCTTTCTTATTAGACATAAACCCCAGTTTGGGAGGATGTAAGTTTCCTGCATATATTCCTTGTGCCTTCTGTTCTATTCTTTACTCTCTTTCTTTTACTTCTTTTCTCTTTACTCCTTCTTCTGCTTCTTCCTCAGATAATCTTACTTGTTTTGAGCTTTTCTTTTGACTTTCTCTACTTCATCTATTAGATACAATAGTTTGGAACACTTTGCAATTGTTATAAATGATTTAAATTGATTCCTTCTTCTAAAATTGATCTCTGACATAATCAGTGCTCGTCTGCCTGGACCTTACATCAGTGACTGAAAACATGTGAACTAGAGTCAAGAAGAGACTGATTTATTCTTACCTTTATAGTCACACCTTTAAACAGGTCACATGCTACGTTCATCCAGTCAATGGCACTGACTAATATGCAAATAAATAACCCTGGGTTCAGTTTACCCGGGGTTTAGTATAACCCAGGGTTAATTTCAAGTGTAAAAAGCCCTCATGATATGTATAACCACCGAACACCATTTTCATCTGCTCTATATCTTCATTCATGTGTGTCTGTGATTTATATTAGGTATCTGTGCTCGAATGCAATAGGCCTACTTTAAAACCAAAATTACAGAGCATTCTGCATTCATAACATTTGAACCTGTAAAAAATCTCAGAGATGACACACTTTCCACCAAAAGACACCTATTTTGAGTGTATAGAAAAGAGCTATGATTATGCTCAACTATCTCGCCTGGAAAAACGCTAAAAAAGGACACTGTCCATTAAAGTTGAATGTTTTCTCTGGCTGTAAAACTCTGAAGAAAGTCCCCAGAGGACATACCATCTTCCTTTTCCACTTCATATCTACAGCAGGTTCAGGTAATGAAAACTCAGCAGTCGTAACACACCAGACGCAGGGGCTGAGACACCTGTTTGGCGCTGGAAGTCAACAGGGGAGGAAGAGCAGGTAATAAGCACCTGACACAGAGAGAGGCAGCTGTCAGAAACAGTGAGGCTGTCCAGAAGCCATTATAATTAGGTGTGTTCCGAAAAAAACCCGCTCCAAGTGTAATTAGGTTCCAGCTAACTCTATCCTGCGGCTGGTAACTGCCTGGTTTTCATCATACATCTGCAGGACTCAAGGCCATGGAAACAAGGAAAAAAATAGTGTTTGAAATATTTTGTCAGATCAGTGTTGAACCAATAAAATTATTAGCGGGCATGAGGAGTCCCGTTGAGACAGCTGGAAACTGTGAGCATTAAAACAAGTGGAATATTCTTGTCTTTAGTTTTGGAAAACACCACAATAGTGAATTTTAGAACGTAAAATTATGTCATTCATAAAATCAAGAAGTTATTTTAAGTTTGTTGCTTGATTCTTCATTATTTAAGACGTTTGCTAGCCTACGTTGTAGCTAATTTTACACAATTACAAAATTGGTCTAAAAAGGTTTTTATTTAATGAAAAATTAGCCCTATTAAACAAACTATTATTTTAAAGCTTTTTTTCCCTTCTGGGGCCTGAAATGGAGGAATTTTGGTCAATACTGCTAATTAAACAATATTTTGATAAATGTGTTTTTGTGCTGGCACCTTGGCTGGTTTAGGACTGTCATGGATAAATAAAGATGACAATAAAACTGCCAGTAGGTGGCAGCAAGTCCCTGTTTTAATAAATTAGTTATTGAATCATTCAGAAATTACGGAAACTTGCTTCAGTTTGTGCGCAACATGTTACAGTAGTGAATTCTGATTGGCCTTATCAGTAGAGAATTTTAACATTTAATTTGCACGATAAGTTTTACATAATACACAACAGTATTAATCTAAAGGGGATGGTGGTTTCACAGAGGGGATGCTTTTTGTCATTTTTCCCTCAATTCGAGCCCTGCCTATATGCTAGTCCACCAGTCAAGACGGCAGCAAATTCTAGCCTCATTGTTCATTGGATATAGTTGAATTGTCACTCATCTGCAATTAAACCAATTAATGTTGCAGTTTCAAAGCGGGTCCAGCCTTCTGAACAACGAACGCATCCATCGATGCAAACGGCTTGGAGTTTGGTCTGTCAATGTGAAATTCTGAATAATTTTCAATATTCTAATATGTTACTGTTGTATTTCATTTTTAAAATCATTTTAACCACATATAGTAGCCTACAACACATACAATGTTAAACGGAAAATTTTTTTAAATTTGTATGTACTTTTTTAGACATACATTACATACATACAATTATATAAAACAAGACAGTAACGTCATATTTTAAGGAAGACTTTACTTTTTTCAGATAGAGAGAGATGGCCCTCACTGCAGAACACAAGATCCAGGGGGCGTGGTTGGATCTAGATCCAACTCCTCCCACCTTACATATACCTAAACCTACCCGTCTCCAGCCCCTGATCCCTAAACCCACCCATCTCCACCCCCTAGATGTGGATCCAACCACGCCCCCCTGGATCTTGTGTTCTGCAGTGAGGGGCTACTGGACAGAGATGCAAAAATTTATATTAACTACTATCCAATCCTAAAGGATCATACCTAAAACTCTACAATCTATAGTTGAACCTAATTTTTCTGCATACTACACTAAACATTTGGTAAATGTTTTACTGAGAATTTGTGACTTTTATTGATACATCTGAGGCTCCATGGGATGGGCAATGGGAGAAGGGTGTCAGCCATTTGAAAGTGTAGTCCCTGTAAACCAACATATGAGACGTTACGTGACTTTTAAAAACAATGAGCATATTTTGTGAATTGAATTCATATTTTTATAATCTTGAACATCTCATTGTGTGTGTAATTTATCTAAGGACGAGGGAAGAACATGAGGACCTGTGGATTTTCTGCCCTTTTCTCTTCTGAAACTCTTCCTCGTCCACTGTCCACACCGCCCCTGTCCTCCCGTCCACCCGCACAAAGCATTTGTGGAGACTAAGATTGTGTCGCACAGCATTCTGAGAAAAGGTTGAAACAGTTGTAACCAGAGAATATAATTTCTATTCATATGAAACAGGCCTATGGCGTTCAGTGAGATTATTCAGCATGATTTTATGCCAACAGCGGCACCATGTGGACATTAATATAATGTCCCAAAGTGTTTTGCGCTAATGTCAGGCCAATCTCAGGACCTCAGAAATAAACCTGCTCAAGACTGGAGCTTTTTTGTTTTAATTAAGCTAACTATTATGGCATTAAATCAGACACACAAGCAAATCTCTCAGTCTCAAACAATATGATTAAAAATATTATTGATAATTGAGTTTTGAACTGAACTGAAATGGGGCTGTCTCAGATCTGGAAACGATGGTTAGTTGACAGTGTCAGCATGTATAGTACCTTCCATGTAGGAGAATTATGACGGAAATAGAAGAACATTCTTGTGAACCAGTTGTAAATTTCGTTTAGCGTCCGCTGTTTGTCTGGAGCTTCCAGGATTGACTGTAGAAATCAATGATAAATTATATATATATTTATATATTATATATTTTTTATTTAAAAAATATTAGGATTCATTTAAAATTCAGGGTGAGTGAAATTTATATAAAAATATTATAATAAATAAATTATATATATATATATATATCTGTGTGTGTGTGTATGTGTCATTTGAATAAATATACAATAAAGGCAAACATAATTTATTTACTTACCCATCTGATTAAGAAAGCATATGTATATGGAGGTCGCAAGTTAGCATATTTGTAGTACTCAACACTGCTAACAAAATCTGTAATTGCCAGAAAGCCAAATTACTAAGCAAAACATTGTACAATCATTCTTGGAAATTGACCGCAAACACTCATATGTGCATTGTGCTTTAAGTATGTCGCTATGTGTTTTGCTGCAAGTGCAAAACATACAGCCGGGTAATGCCTATGAGTCAGTCATTTTCGCAAAATCAAGGTTTTATAATAGACGGCTTATGAGCAAAACTTCAGCTGAGAGCGTCTGAACTACATTTGGTCCAGATCTTAGGCTTCCTTTGTGGTCTCCATGCCAAGTTTGGCAACAGGAAGCAATCAATCTCACAACTTCAACTGTAGTCATAGTGGTAGACCACCAACTTTCAACTGTCTGGCCAACAACATAAACACATAAAGAGAAAGGAAGTAAGCATAAGATAAGTGTGACCTTCACACTGTAAACAGCGGTATAGATGGTGACCTTTATTCATATTTTTCAATGCCTTCAACATCTGCATTTCAGTTCCACTTGATTGGATCTTTCTAGTTTAATGACACTTCTCAGCTAGGATGTGTGTGTTTAGAGGCACGGCAAGATGTGTATTTTGTATTTTAGCAGGTTTTACCAGGCAGCAGGTGTGGTGGGGGTATGTGCCAGGGTTCCTGTCGTACCGGCGCTACACTAGCTTTCTCTGTCCTGCCATCTGACTCCCCCAACGTGGGAAACTTTAGTGCCAGCGGCCTCCACCAGCCTGTAGCAGCTCCCTGAATGGAAACACACAAGTCAGTCCTACATATGAGAGCGATATTGAGCACAGATATGGTTTCCCGTAGACATCTTGAGATGTGAAGGCTTGATCCGCACTTTCTATAAATTTACTGACGTTTTATGAAATCACAAAAAGGAAATGTCGTGTTCACTGTGAGAATCGTTATTTCTAAACGCTCTCACAAAACTTCTGGCAGTGTCAAAGTGTATCCTGAAGAGTCTTACGGTACGTGTCGAGATGCATTCATACAGCTGAAGGTGAAGCTGCATGGCGTGAAGTTTCTGCTTCTCCTGAATGAGCTGAAATCATCACATATAGCATGTTAGAGTCAGTGGGTTCTCAAACCACTTTTACCAAGACGTTTGATTCTTTTGGGTTCACACTCAATGACTCAAAACCAATGAAACCATGATTCACTTTCTTGTGCCTCATTCATGATAACTGATGATGATCAATGATGCAAAGCGTGACTTGTGTGTGCTGTCTGTAAGAGATTGTATCGCTGCTGTACCTGATTCTCCATGTGGCGTACCAGGTCTTGCTGAACTCGCCACTGTGCAATCGTTTTCTCATCTGTGCTGTGGTCTCGGTTTAGATGTCTAGATGGGTTGGGAATCAAAAGGTGTTTTCTAAAGTTTGAAAATGATTGATTCCAACAAGGAAGGCTTGCTGATGTTACTTTAGATAGTGAAAAACGTACCTCAGAAAATGAGTATAGCCTTCAAAGACTCTGTCACAGCCAGGCCAGCGACATTGTCCGTTTACAAAAAGAGAGCTGGGTCTCTGGATTTCTGACTCGACGGAGCTGAGGAGGACACATGAGGGACATCAAGATTCGTATTGATGAACATTGATGAACTTTTTTTTTTTCAGTGATAATTACCTGTGAGAATGAAAGCTGGGAGATTGTTTCCTGTGCTGGCTTGATCCAGCAACAGCTTCACTGTGACCTGTGTCTTTTCTTCTGTTCATGGTTGTTTGGTGGCTCTCATTTGCTAAAGAATACGACAAAAAAATGCACACTTTCCAGTTATTATATTACATTGTTTTTAAATTAGTAAAATATACTATATAAATACATGTATATAATATATAAATAAATATATTTTTAAAAGTATCTCAATTAAATTAAATTGTATGTGTGCATGTATGTGTTTATTTTTTTTATTATATATATATATATATATATATATATATATATACACCTTTTAAATTCAGTTATAATTATTTACGACAAGTTATAATGTATTACAATGCACATAATGAATAATTATAATGCATTATACCCTTTAATAACCCTTTATAATGCATTATAAATAAAGGCTTTAAGTAAAGTGTTACCAAAATATCATATAAATATTATGAATATTACACTGCAGTTAGCCAATTAAAATATTAATATTGCTAGTAGTGGTCAAACATTTACATACAGTACCCCCTGCAGAATCTGCAAAATATTACAAATGAATAATAATTAATAACCATTGTTGTTGTTTGCAGATTTATTTGTGTGGTTAGCATTATTCACTTAGTAATAAATAAAAAATAATCTGGAATTTTAATGATGAATGAATGAATTATTAACATTTTATAGATTGTGTAAGTAAACATATAACCACAACAGTATTATATACAATATATCTACATTGTTAAACAGCACATCCTTCAGACAGAGTTTGTTTTGTTTTATTTTTTTGAAACCTTTTGAATTGAAACACTTAGATTGAATAAGTTATATGCAATAGCCGTTTTTGTGTTTTAAAATGCCTTTGCTCATCATAACGTGTACATATACGGAATATAATGACATCTCTGAGGATTTCACCACTTTGACTATGGCAAGGAAAAATGTGGAGTTTGAATAATTCATTGGAACACAAACCCTGAAGCAGGAGAGCTGTAGAGCGAAGTACAGACGGCCTGATCGGGCCAGCCGGAGAATTCTGAAACACCAGCTGAAGAAACTGCATCCGTTCCTCATCAGCAGCTCTCTGCACACAAACACACAGAGAATCAGGCCAACACAATAAAGGCCATTCACCACATTTGTACTAGAGCTTTTAAACATCAGCAGGAGTTTATTAATGTATCTGGCATTGAGGATGAGAAAAAAAAATTACAAACATTAAGAACAAATTAAAATGATATGTATATATTTGTAATATATCAGAAATATAATGCAGTTCACATAGCAAGAAAATTAAGAATTTTATTAGACAAAAGACTTCTATACATAAAATAATTTGGAATCTTCAGAAAATGCAGTCAGTGTATTTTATGCAAACAACCTACAAAGGGATGTCATTTTTTAAGGCAACATTACAGAAATTACCACAGAATGAAGCTCACTCACAGAACGTACTCCAGAAGAAAGATGTTCCACGTGCTGGGGTGAAAAGGATTCGTTTAACAGATGGGTAGATGCGTCACGCTCTTCTTTTAGTGCTGGCTGTCGTTCATTTTCTCTCCCATTCACTCTTTTGTCACTCTCTCTCTCAGACTGAGGCATTCCTGAAATCAAGAGTTTGAAAAAGACTGCAGATTGATGTACAGAGTTACATATTTACACATTACATTTCAATTTGACATAATGCATACTGTGGGAGAGCCAATGAAACATTTAACTGAATGTTAGCTTCTTAACTTTATCTTTAAGATTAACTTAACATTGTATTTTCCTGTGTAAGGAAATATGATTGCTTAATGTTGCTTAAAAAATCTAATCTCAACACTTTTGATGAATGTCCATGCTATTTTTAATTTTGTTAGCATTTGTAAGTTTTGAGGTTAAAGGGATAGTTCACCCAAAAATGAAAATTTGATGTTTATCTGCTTACCCCCGAGGCATCCAAGATGTAGCTGACTTTGTTTCTTCAGTAGAACACAAAAGAATATTTTTTACTCCAGCCGTTGCAGTCTATCAGTTGTATAATGCATGGCAATGGTAACAAAATCTATGAGAGTAAAAAAAACATGCACAGACAAATCCAAATTAAACCCTGCGGCTCGTGACGACACATTGATGTCCTAAGCCACGAAACTATCAGTTTGTGCCAGAAACCGAACAGTATTTATATCATATTTTACCTCTAATACAGCACTGTGTCCAACTGCTTTGAGCGCGCGCACATCATCCGGTGCATGAGGTGTGTAGGCGCTCTGGCGTAGTTTACGTTAATGGGTGTGTTGATATCCAGCCGAAGAGCAATTAAGCATAACTTCAGGCGAGCAGGCTCAGAAGTTGGGAATATGTGGAAAGTCACCACTCTCAAATGAGTTCGCGCAAGAGAAAGTAATCTTTTCATTTTAAGTTGGTTTGAACAATCCGGATAAGCGCAAGTAAGTACCATTTTGATTAGCCATCGTACCTACAATGTTTGTGCACTGTGTAAACAATGAGTGACGTATTCGCGCGAGAGATCACTTCCAGCGCTTGCGTAAACTAAGCCAGAGCGCGTACACACCTAAAGCAGTTGGACATAGTGGTGTATTAGAGGTAAAATATGATCTAAATACTGTTCGGTTTCTGGCACAAACCGATCGTTTCGTGTCTTAGGACATCAATGTGTCGTCATGAGCCGCAGGGTTTAATTTGGATTTGTCTGTGCATGTTTTTTTTACTCTCATAGATTTTGTTACCATTACCATGCATTATACGACTGACAGACTGCAATGGCTGGAGTTAAATATCATAATTTGTGTTCTACTGAAGAAACAAAGTCACCTACATCTTGGATGCCCTGGGGGTAAGCAGATAAACATCAAATTTAAATTTTTGGGTGAACTATCCCTTTAACTGATCTTTTTTTTCTAGAAAATACTGATAAACAACATTGCATTGTATTGTATTGTGTTGAAAAACACATTTTATTTTTTAATTTTTATGAGTGATCTATAGTCACATTAATGCTTTTTGAATTGTGGAGTACAATATTGTACACCTTTGTTTATGTTCAGCTATTTCACTTGAATGGCAAAGAAAGGAACCTATATCCTACACATAGGAGCCTGATAAAAACGCTAATTTTAGAAGAAAATTTCATTTGCATCTGAAATCTTCATATATATATATATATATACATACACACACACACACAGTATAAAAAATGCAAATGTAAAAAATATATATTTTAAGTAGAATATTTAATGAAGTATTTTACATTAATGACATGTTAAATATTATTAAGAAATTATATCAAATGTAATTTATACATTCTGTAAAAGTTGACCCCTTCTTACCCCCAGTAGTAGGGCAGCCTGGTCTCATGTTTATACGTAGGTATAAATACGTAACATTTACAAGCACAAAACGTACCCTTTTGTACGTTTTTAGTCATGCTAAAACGTACAATTTAGACGTATTTCAACGTTTAAAACGTACAAAACGCTACGTATTTTTAGCTAAAAAACGTAAAAATATTTACGTATCTTTTATATAATTTAGATATTCATTTATACATTCTGTAAAAGTTGACCCCTTCTTACCCCCAGTAGTAGGGTAAGATGTCCCTTTTTAATAATTTACTAAATTAAAAATAAACTAAATTAGCAAATGTTTCTATTTATTTCCTAATTCCTATAATACAATATTGGCATCATCCTGCACATGCTAAACTTATATCTAAATATGTTACAGTTTAAGGTAAATACAGATTGTTCTTCCTACCTCTTACCCTATAGTTTGAAATGTATTTTTTCATTAGAAAAATAGTTCTGTTTTATATATCAGTCCACAGACTCCTTCACTACCTTCAAGAATGTGTTCACCTGACATAAATTAGTTACATTTTTTTGGAAATGTGTGCAGAAATGGCAACACTTATATATACTATACATACTATAGAGAAGGCAAAAGAAATACTGGCATCTCACAGAAAACCAAGAGGGAACAGAAGGATGGAGCTGGTATAATTACATGAAATTTGGCATGCATGTAAGGAACGCACGTCAAGTCCCCAGAAAAGGGCAACACGAGTGTTGCTTGAATGCAAACCCAAAACATGCGTGACATCTATCTGTCATACGAGACACAAACCTCTCCCACCTCTCAGGAAACCACAGACACACACTTTGCATTTTGCAAAAACATGCACGAAAGAAGCAAGCCAGGAACAGGATAAGGGATATAAGACAGCGATAGAATGTGGTCGGTGATGTTATTGAGCCTGAGTTGAGATCAGAGCATCTATAACAATAAAAGGATGTTTTCATGCACTCCTCTGCACTTTAAACAAACATCAAATGCAAGCAAACGTGAAAAGTTCTGTGAAAATTCTCTAAAAGCATTTTTTATTTAAAAACAATAGGGGTTATTATACAATGGTTAATTAACAATTATTTTTTTAAAAACAAGAACAATTCCAATGCTCTCATTAATATTCCATTCGCTTTTCTAGACAATGTGTGGAGTGTCTGTCACTCTGTATGTAGTTTTGCTTTCAGGTTCACACCATTCAGCAATGGAATATTACTCACGCTTTATTATTTTCCCTCTTTTCACATACATGCAGTTTTTACCTATCTCACAAGACAGAATCTAAGTGAAACTACATATAGGCATCAATATTTGTCAGCTACTTTCCATTCCATCTCTACCACATGAAAGTTGAAAAACTGAACTTTGTTAGTCTTTGTAAAATCAGGATGTTATCCACAAAGATTTGAGAAAAAAAACAAACAAAATGACTCACAGTGACCATAAATTTATCTCTTTTATCCTCCCACTCTTATATTTCCGATGTTTGAGTATAGGCGTACATGCAATAAAGATAAACAGTAAATAATTTCAGTAATAACACTTGTGTCATTGTATCATAATGTATAACCATTTGCTTTACAACAAAGTTCAAATATTATTTAGCAATCCAAAGCAAGTGTTCAAACTAATTTTTTTTATAATATTCCTATACTTTATACTGTTCATTAGCACCAAATTAAAATTTTCACAAGCAAATAAGTCCCAGCATACATCTTATGTGCATGCCGGTGATGTGAATTCAGATTCGAGTATCCATAAAGATTTTTGATCATTTGGAAATATCATAATCCACAGCTGTCTCATCTAAGGCCTGCATGAAATACTTTATCATCAAAGTTGTCATTAAATGACAGGCAGTATTAAATCAAGCACATTTCAGAAACAAGTACTGTAAGTAAATATATACCAAGATGCAGCATTCTGTACCTTGCGCCTTTGTAGTCAGTCGTTGTCTTCCTGTGCTATTCTGTATAAAAACAAGAGTGAAAGGATCTTTATAGGATAAAAATGACAATCTGAAAAAAATCTAAAATCTCAAAATCTAAAATCTCACATCAAAGGAATGAATGCAATGTTAGAATCTTCAATTTATATCAAAGGTCAAAGACCACATGCAGCAATATTATTCTTCCGTGAATAGCAAAAGACATACTTGAGACTAAAGACCATCTAACACGTCAGTCTGCAGAGGTTGAGCGCAAGTTTTCTTGTGGAAGATGAAAGGCATAACCACTGCAGTTCACTGGCAGTTTAAAAAATGCTTTATGCTATGTTAAATGTTATGTTAGGTTGTGTCTTTCTGTCCCCTTATATGTTTCACTGGGATAAGTAAGCACAATATTAACTGGGTAAAAAATTGATGTTCTTTTTACATTTTAATGTTATTAAAAGATTTAGAGATTTAGAGACAAACTATTATTTACAGATTATTCATAGCTTTTTTTACATATGAAAATAAATAATAAAAATAATTTAATAGAATGTTGTGCTACTTTATTGCCTATGACATAATTACTGTCTTATTAGAATGGAAATAAAACACCTGTTCAAAGCACAATTACAAGAAAAATCTCACAAATTAATTATAATATAGGATCTGATGATTTCACTATTTTTGAAAAGTGTGTTTTTTAAAGATTTTCTGAAATATATATATAAGGTTATATAATATATCAAGTAAAGTTAGGTAATATATATATATAAATTCTAAATGATCTATGGTCATTATTTCCAGCTGAGACAAATACAAAAAAGGGTTTTTCAAAAATATGAGCAATAATTGTATCACGCAAAACATCAGTTAAGTTGAAGGACAATTAATAGTTTCCGCAGCGCTGTAGTGCATTTTAAGACTCACCTGAAGTTGCCACCTTCCCACATAGAATGTGTCATTGCCAGTAGTCAGTATCCAGCGCTTATTTATACCCAGAAAATACTCTGTCATCACAAAGGAAATAGAAAGAAATGTTCCACAAACAACACAGTGAGGGTATTCATAAACAACACTCTCAAACGACCAGGTGCTTATACGGCATCAAACAGTGAATTTGTCAAAAGCATAATTTTTAAAGGAAAAAAAAAAAGAGTCCCAAACATTATTTTGCCACTGACGTTTAAGAGACGTTTATGTTTCCATTTAAGTTTCCAACATCTTTTGTGCATTGTTTTAAATATACAGTAAAATGATTTACATGATTTACGTGTTTGAAGGAGGAATTTGCATAAAATGTTTCTGTGTCATTACAAAAACAATTTTACTAATAATAATAAACATCATCATCATGAAGTCTCATGATCTTTATCATGCAACCAGAATATTAATAACAATTGCTCCCTGGAAATTACATAAATGATGACATAAAAACCAATGAATGATTAAATTATGATGAAATTATGCAGGTAATTCTATGTACATTACATGAAAAAAATCACTGTAACATTTTGTGCCACTTTTATAGGAAAATAAGTGAGAACCGTGAAGGCGAAATCATCACCTGTTATATGAAGAAAGGTATGCATTAACAGTTTCCTGTACTGCTGTGCCATTCAAATGAAAGTTACTTTATTGTCAATTCTCTCCTACAATATGTGGTATAAGACGCAGAGTCACAACGCAGAACAAAGGTTACAACAGCCAAAAACATACAGTAACAGCATAATGTAGACAGTCGACTGCATAATGACATGAGTGTTTAATAAAGGAATGATTCACCCCAGAAATGAAAATTCTGTCATCATTTACTCACCCTCATGTTGTTCCAAACCTGTATGACTTTCTTTCTTCTGTGGAACACACACACACACACATAAAGATATAAACTAAAAAGTCCACTGCCCATTCAATGAAAATCAATTCAGCAATGTTGTTTGAAACCCAACTCTCTTCACACAGAAAATCACAAAGGTTTGGAACGACATGAGGGTGAGTTAGAAATGAGAACATTTTCAGTTTGGGTTGCACAACCCCTTTAATATCTTTGCTGTGTGTTTTTGACAACAGATTTTAGATTTTACAGTGTAATATATCACAGTATAAAATATGCTTACTGAGAATATTGTCGCACTTTCTCACTGAATGAAACAAGCTGAAGAAAATCCCTGGGGAAGATCAACTAAACAAAGTGCATTGATTGACTTGGCAACCATTAAAATCTTTAAGCTGCAATGGACAGAACTGCAACATGTTTGACCCTTTTGCTCTTCAGCAGTTAGGCTGCTATTTTTAAAGCATGACATTTTCTTGGCTCGCATCTGTATGTTTCTGGTTATCTGGATATCTGCCTCAGCAGATATTTATCTTTTTTTACACAAATATGAGTCAAATGTGTTTTAAGTAGTATGACTCAGTATTTCTTATTGTAGGTGTTCTCTGATTCAGCTGATTCGGATCCGTTTGTAGGCGTAGAAGACTGATTCTACATTGTAGTGTTGCCACTGAAACAACATGACCCAATATTCATATGTGAGAATTATCACACGAAGTACCAACCAGTGCCTGACCAAAGTGCAAACGCTGATGTTGAAATGTGAAACTGACTGGGATTTTGAAAACTGGGTCTCACAGTGTTTTGTTTTACATGTGAAACTTTGATCTTAATTTCTAACAGCGGGCACACATTCATCAACAAAACCGCCGTTTTCAAGGCTTCCAAAAACTCTGCTTACCACAGCTCACTGTAATAAACACCAATAACCGACCGTTAGTGAGAGACCTTTCTAGCAGAGGACATCTTCATAGGTTAGTTTTGTACTATTCTGAGGTGGGTTTTGCTTATGACACGTTTAGTGCAGATATTTCAATCTTTTGCTTTATCATAGCAGGATGTGATCGTTTCAATATACATTTTTGGACCTATTTAATTCTAATAAGGCACACTACAATAAAACTGGATCAACGCATCCAAATCATAGCTGTAATGACTAAACTTAACTGGCTTCATTTAAAGCAAACAATTACGAAAACGGCTGCTGCAATCACACAGACACTCACACACACAAGAAATAAAATTTACATAAATGGGACTGTCCTCACAAGAGCAAACGACAAGTTTGTTTTGAAGAGAATTCTTATTTTTGTGGTTAGCAAATGTCACACATGACATGTTCTGATTTCTGATAAGCTGCATTCTGATTTCCGCTGAAAGCCCGTCACTCAACGTCGACACTCACACGATTTTACACTCCATCAAATATGCACAGATAAACACTTTCACTGGAACGAGTGACAAACGCACTTTCTAATTACGGAAAGGGACTTATCGCAAATAAATCTCTTTAGAATCAGTGAACAAATTCCATGCTGTACTTCTATATTTTATTGGCTTTTATCAGTCATTAAAGACTATTCTCTTATTTGCGCTAGGCCTTGCATTGAACAGGTGAACTGCATTAAGGGTGAGGGATGGATGCTGATGCAGATGAAGTGGAAGTTAATTCATTATCAACCTTTTGAAGCACTTCAGTTTTAATACAGTTTTAAGCCAGTTTTTGCCCCAAACTGGCCTTTGAGGTAGAACTCAGGGTGAAGAAATTGATTTGCACGTTAAAGTAAATATTGAGGATTCATCTGTGTTAACAGAACAGGAATCAGGCACTGTGCAATTATTTAAAAATAAAATCACAAAAGGTAATTAAATTCAGAAGTAAGTCATGTGACAAAATTCTATTTTAAAAATGACAACATTGCAATAAAATGAGAAATATGAAATTGTGGTAATATTTTTTTATAGAAATTGATTCTGTATAAAACAAATGTAATATTATTTTAAATAATATTTCAAATGTCTTGTTATATTTGTTACATTCTTTTAAAATAGCACAAAACATTTATTCAATAATTATTTTTTATTTATTCAGCCATTAACACCACAAGTGTCACTATACCATATCACACACACACAGGGCCTTTGCTGGCCAAATGGGTGCCCTAAGCAGAATTATATACTGTAGTTGTGCCCCCTCCAGTACTTGACGGTACCGCTTCATCCTCTTTTGTAACAAATTTCAGCACTGACCCTGCATTAAATGAAGCATAATATATTAGTCACTGAAGAATTACTGAGTGCACTTTTAAATAAACAGTTATTGTTAGTAAAAAAAAAAAAACAAGTAAATTAAGAGCAGTCGGTGTAATAAAACATAGTTTTAACAACAACAACAACAAAAAAGACAGTTACCTCCTATGGCTATAATTTTATTAATACAGTTGTCTGATTGATTTTATAGTCTCAAGCATTCAGAAATCACACAAAAGAAAATTAAGCAGTTTTACTATGATAAAACCATGGTTCATTTTTGAAATTATAGAGGCTGTCGCATTTCTATCGCGAAAAAGTGGCCGAAAAATAAAGATTAAGTGGGTATCTGAATTAAATGTTTGGTCAATATTAAACAAGGATTTGATTGTATTGCAAGTGTAACAACAGCAATTATCAGGCCTTTGGTGGCTTTTGCAGGCATTTGTAATAATATTTAATGTACATAAATTGTTTATTTTGTATTAATATTACATTATGTATTTTTAACAGTGTCATTCAATGACATATTCATATGATTATTATTAATTAACCAATCATTATTGCCTCATTGTTTTTAGTGAATTTGAAGTCGTTTTAAAGGCTGTTGTTCGCTTAGGTCTGTTTTTATTACCACAAAAAATGATCTGATTACGTCTTTGTAAATTATTATTTGAAGTAACAAAACCATTGTTAATTAACCATTGTATAATAACCCCTACAAATACAACTCATTATATACACTATAAACACTTTAAAGGAGACAGAGATGTAGCCTAGATGTTTGTGAAAGATGTTTTCTCTGTTTTGGAGGGATGATTATTTTTACAGTAAATCATACCCTATTTATTGCATCAAAATTTGTTAATACTTTGCTATATTTAAGGGTGGATAATTTTATCAGTTGTTTATTGCAACAATGCATAACTACAATAACTTTGTCTAGTGCTCTTATGAAAGTTTATAGCATAAAAATCCCCGAGAGAAAACTGCTGCTGCGTTCTATTCATGACGTATTGACACAAATTTCAAAGGATTTTCAACGGTCGGTTTGTCACGTCCAGTGTACTAGACAGACTTTAGTTTAGCTGTTGTGGCGCAGACACGGGTGTTACTATCGAGAAGAAACAAAGCAACCTTGGCATCCGATCGCAGGCCTTCTACTCCTTGAGT